TTCTGTTACTCAAAGGTTAGTTAAAAGTTAGAAAATGGCAACATTGTTTCACATTTAACATTTTCAAAGCAACATTGCTTCTTTCAATAGGTAAGGATACACACATCACTTTTGAGAAAACTTCCAAAACATTTTTGCTACTTAACTCAATATAATATTATAACAGTGTGAGTATCACCTTTAAATAATTTGTTGGAGTTCAATTTTCAACTTTTATACATAAAATAAATTTACTTAAAATTTATATTTTAAACAGATTAGTCTCTGATCTTATTAAATGAAAAACAGAACGTGAGTGACGCATGATGTGGGATTTTCTTTAACTTGATGCAAAAAAATTTATGTGACTTGAGGTCCAATACCTTGTCAAAGTCAGGGCATACATCTATATTCAAATAATATTTATAAAAATATTTATAAATTATTTATTGATAAGATTCTCCTGTTAAAAGATAATTTTAATTTTATAATTTACGAGTCGAATGTTTACTAATTAAATTAACTTTATTGATACATACAACGGGAGATTTTGTCAAATCATGACACAAGAGCACAGAGGCACGACATGTCATTTTATGTTTGTCAGTCATTTGTTTCCGTTTCATGAAATCACAACCATCCCAACTTATGGTCGCTCCTTCACTTACGCATCCATTCAAATTGTTGTGCTCTCATATCATTGTCGCATACGCTCCATAATTAATAAATAAAAATAATAGCATGATGCAAGCAAAAAAACTCTGTTTGAGACCTGAGAACGTGATTGTACATTTATCAAAGTATTGTAACGAAATTTATTAAAGTTATATTATATACTATTAATCTTTATAAGTGATTTTGGAGTTATATGATCTTAATATCAGTCTAGTCATAATTTAAGTTTAAAAGTTAAACTTTTATAACGATGGCCTACAAAATTGAATACAAATAATCAAGGTAAGCATTCCTCCACCTTTACGTTTTTACTCTGGGTAACTCAGTGAATATAAAATTATAAACTATAAAATTTATAATAAATGTCATTATTTATAGTTAATTATAAATAACTTTACTAATTAGTTTTTAGATTTTGAAATAACACACAAAGAAACGTTGTTGGTTTTAAATGGATTTGATGCAGTTTAATATTATTCTTAGGTATTTAAATAAATAGTAATTAAACTAATTGTCATCTTTATTTTTTCAATGCATTACGTATGCTATTCGGCTATTAATATTCCTATGTCCATACTGTAAGATATAACCTAAGATGCATGAATACCGGTATAGGTATCGGATATAATATATATCCAATACATCGATATTTTTATTTTTAAAAATATAGGATACGATATGTTTTTGATGCATATACATATATGTATTTATAAAAAAATATAAAAATATAAAAAATATAATTTTAATTTAAAAAATATCCAAACTAACACATTTATATATAATCATTTACAATAATACCAAGAAAAACATAATCCTTAATGGTACTTTTATTTAAATTATACCTAATTGCCTACTACCTAATTTCTACTAATAGGTATACTATCAATACTTTCTCCCCTTCGATCGTCATTTGTAAAAAGGATTGCTTTCATATCTGGTTCATCAAAAAATAAATTAGACACCCCCAAAATTTCAACACCATTAAGGTCATCTCCATTAATGTCTCATGTCTTAGACTTACCTTGTTGGTATTCATCATTTTTTCTAGCCAAGAGTCACAAATTAGCATGGACATAAACCAAATTTTTTGCCCTTTTAGGGTCCAACTTATCTCTTTTCATTGAATGAAGAGCAGAGCAAGCTTTTGAAGTAGAGAAGTTGAAGACTCATGCATCACCTACCAAGATTTAAGATCTAATGTCCACCTATCTTTAGTGGAGTCAAAAGAAGTATCGACTCATAATTTTGAAGCATTATAGATACTTATATACTTATCAAAGAAGTATCAACACTGATATAGATATATGATGCAATTTGAAGTATCGGTATATCATATCATAACATTAAAGAATTAACTAATAAATGTATAATATCATAATAGGGAATAATAAAGGAAAGATATTAAAGGATTGAATATTGATGAACGGGCAAATTTATTATAATGTAATTAATCAATCTTTAAATTCCCACCAAGAGGGATGCTCACCTTAAATAAGAGATACTTATATATAAAAAAATAATACTTGGGCAGAAAAAATTTAATATAGTTAACTCAATTTTTTCGAATGATGCATTATAAATATTGATTTAGATAATTATAAATATAATTAACTTGTAAATTAGATATCCATATTTACAAACGTTTGAATTTATCTTTGTGATTATTTTTTTCAGAGGATTTGACCGGGATTAAATTTATTCTATAACATCTAAGAATAATTCTACCAAAAATGAATTTGAATTAGGGTGTCTTTCCAAATATGAAATATGCAGTGCAAGGGGCAGCTTGGTCTCCACCAACGCTTGCTTCATAGTATGGTTTTTGACTTCTTACCCAAATCTTTTACGACCATTTATTTCAACTTATTTTATAAAAAAAGTAATTATTGAAAAAATTATTTAATAAATTTTTACAATTTTTATTTTAAATTTTAAAAATAATGAAAATTTAAAAAAATTATAATTATTTTCAAAAGATATTTTGAGTAGCTTCTGAAAATAATTTAATATAGTAGATGAGAAAGACTATTTTAAAGATGTAAATTCATGAATATATCATAAAATTTTAAAATAATATAATAATAAATTATTTTCATAAAACAAAAATCAAGAAAAAGTCATAAATTTAAAAATAAATAATTAAGAATTATTTATTATTATTATTATTAAACATAAAAATAATGTCTTATTTTTATAAAAATTTTATAAAATAAATGTATTTTAATAAAAATTTTAAATTATTTATTTTTAAATTTAAAATAAACGGACCCTCATCGTGTGGCGGTGTTCAAAATACCAAGTGATAATGCCTACAAAAACTTTCATTACGAGGTTTTTGGCTTCTAAAGCTTCTGACTCAAGTGGCTGCATATCTGAATCACACGAACACTGGCACCAAGGGGGAGAAAGAGAATAAGAAGAAAGGGAAGGGTATTCTGGTCAGTGAAAAAGAGGGAGCGGATAAAGGGTTAGACATGTCACTGTACGTGGAAATTAGGGAGAGTGTGTGTCATGATGGTGTGACGGCAGGCGCCAAACGTGGCAGAGAGACAGAGGTGGGGGGGTGTTTTGAGCAATCCTGAAAGCTGGCACACAAATGATAAATCTTAAAACGGTTCACTTCATTTGTCGTTTTCAGTATTATTGGTTTCCCAGCCCACAGCTTTCTTCTCACTCAAGTGCCGTTACAACTTACAGTAGCCTTTACGCTTTTGCCTTCCGCGGTTAACTAACCCAACCTGTCCTTCGCTTGGTTAAACCATTCTCACTTAATACTTTCTCTTTTGCTTCCACGCCCCTCTACTTGTACTGTACATGTATTTGCTTTTCGTCTTTATTTCTTCTCTATTTTTCTTTTATGTAATTTATTTAATAAATTTTAAAAAATAAATGATAAAAAATAATATAAACTTGTCACCCTAGGCATGCCCTTCAGAAGATCTACTAAACAGTAAACACATTCTCTCACATGGTCAAAAAAAAAAAACATTCTCTCACGCTCCACACTTTATAAGACGCAAAATTAAAGTTATTCACACGTTATTCATTTACATTGAAAAAGTTCGTATTATTAATTACTACTTTATAATTATAATGCCATGTGCTAAAATATTTAAGAATGTTTCTTATATTAATTTTTCTTATTACTTCAAATTTAAAGTTTTAATTCCTATGAAATATATAAATTTAATTTTAATATAAGAAAAACATAAATCTTATTCTTGTACTTTGTTTCCATTTTGCTATTGATTCTTATATATTTTTTCAGTTTTTTATATCGTATACTTTTTTTTTAGTATTTTAGATCTCTTTAAAATTCTCAGTGACAGACCTAAGATGTTGAGTCAATGGAGGCAATTTATTCAATACAAGATTTTAATAGTGATTTGATTTTGGTCATATTCAAGTGAGTTCAAATAATAGAGATGAGTGGGGGCAAAATGCAAAATTTACCATATACATCTATGTAATTTTTTTCATTTTAGGGGGCATTTGCCCACTGGATACCAAGTAAGACCATCCCTAAAAATCTTTATACTTTATTTATAAAGAAATTTAAAATAAAAAAAATACAAGAATTAATAGTAAAGCGATAACAAAGTGTGTAGATTAAAAATTATATTTTCTTTTTAACATATTTTCAATTGATCTTATTTACTAAAGTTTTATAAATTTTTCATTCTAATATAGCGTTGACTCTGTGCTTTTTTTGACCTCAACCACCGTGCATCAAATTATCATATCAATGCAATCGATTTAATTTTTTTTTCCCATGAACAAGTTTAAGTAAATTAGATTTCAGATTCATTAAAGTTAAAATATACTTTTAAATTAAAAAATACTTATAAATATATTTTTAAATTACTATCAATAATATTCTCACATCAATAACACTATTTGATACAATGACTTTATATATTACAAGTCAAATTTTTACAAATTGAATTATTTTTTGTTAATACAACATAATATCTAAGAAATACAGTAAGCGTGTTTAGGATTTTAATTTCGTGCCTGCAGTATAGATTAAGATTAGGACGCCGCATGTTCAAAAACTTGTTGGTTTAAATGCACTGAATGGTAACTAACAGTGCCCACTAGTGCCTCCTGTTTTCGTATTGGTTTTATACAAGGGAGAGACATGCGTATGCACTAAAACGTAGGTGAAGAAGCAGAATCCAGACGGGCGTAAATGCAATTCTAAGAAGTGAATACCCCGAGCAGAAAATATCACAAACCTTAACCCCACTTTCGTTCTCTCTCTTGCTTTTACTTTATCCTGTAGTTCCCTGGTTCCCCCCTCCCTCATCTTCAGACTCCTATAAATATATAGCTTGAGTAAAGCTAGGTTTGCGAAACCAGTGAGCCGACCCCGGCCTATTAGGGAAACAGGAGAGAAAAGTGCTCCCTCCCTACATTTCTCTCTATTCATATTTAATTCTCTTTTTCTGGAACACCTAAAGATCTGTGAAAATGGCGGCACCTACAAGAAATTCACGCGCACCAGTGCTCCGATCTCTCTCTCCGTCCGGCAGGTTCTGCAATTCTCGCTATTCGTCGCCTCCTGTTCATCCGCTGCTTTTGCTTCCTATAGCTCAAGCTTTTCTTCTCGCTCCACAACCTTCTTGCCCCCGCTCTACTTCTCCCACACGTGTCAACCTCTGCGGTTCTTCTGCTGCCTCCGCTCCATCCGTTCGGCTCTCTGTGGACCGTTCCAACTCTCTGAATCGGTCTATCTCCGTCACTCCTCGGTCCGGCTCCGCAAACGGCAGCAAAGTGGTCAAGAAACCGAGCCAGCAGAAGCGAACCTGCTTGTGCTCCCCGACCACGCACCCTGGCTCCTTTCGATGCAGCCTTCACAAGGCCTTTGCCTCTCGCTCGGTGGCGCCGTACTCTCCGAACAAGCTCAATGCGCGTAGATCAGCGATGACGAACTCGCTCGTGGGAATCTGCGGCGTTGACGGAAATCTGGTGAACAGAGCCTTGTCGGCGATGATTCGCCCGTCGTCGCATCAGCAAAGGAGGCGCGCCGATTTCCAGCCGAGGCCGAGTAGGCTATCGGTTATGTCTAAAGCTGAAGGTTCGTGAGGTGCATTTTGTGTCTGGTTTGTATTTTTGATCAAGCTGAGTTCCCTGGCGAGGTAGCGCCCGGCCTGACGACCGGTGAGGACGTCGGCGACAGCAGCTGCGGCAGTTGATGAGTTAAACTCCTGTGAAATGGTTGGAGATCTGACCGCTGTGATGGCAATTCGGATTGGACTTGGTTTTTTGGTTCTCCGGATAGGGAAATCCGATCGATGATTAATGATAATCTTCTCACGCGAGCGTGTATATAACTATATATATAGAACTTCTATGAATCACTGGCTGCCGTTTTGGCAATTCTGGGTGCTTCTGGACTTAATTTCGACCTAAACCTAAACATAAAGCACCGATTCTGACCAAAATATAAAACTAATCCTAACTTCAATTTGATTGAACACAGTATTCCCACAATCAGTGTGCTTATTGTCTTTTTCGCTGGGAATTGACACCATTTCCTTTCCACATCATTTTATTTATCTGTCCATTTTCTCCCATATTCCGTTATTGCCTATTTCCGGTGCCTTCTTTGTACAGTCACCGGTCCTTTGACTTGTCGTTCATGTAACTTTCTCCCAGATTCCGTTGTTCTGTGTTTCATCTATTTGTACTTGTTGCGTCCATTACGTTTCTCGTCGTCCTAGCCGCCGTCCGTTCACAGGTGAGTTACTTTTTCTCCCTTCCAATAGTTCAGTATTATTATTTGTATGCTAATTGTGCTTTTCTTCTTTTTTTTTTTAAAAAAAAAAAAGCATTATATATCATCTGTTTTACATCTTGCTGCTTTTGTTTGTGTTGCAGATTTCTCATTTCTCTTTCTGGGGAGAAAAGGGGATTGAATAGAAAGTTTGACCTCGAACAATGCCGGATTAGCTGCCTTCCATGAAGATGTAAAATTCCAATGGAATTTGATGCAGACATCATTACCCGTGACATTTAAAATGATAATGGTTCCAAAGGCAAATACAAGTACTATATAATATGACTCAAAATTTACATGGTAATGTATATGGTTGATAGTAATGAACTAATGATGGTTAAGTGAAGACATTAAGATTTAATTTTTTGTAAGTAATGCTATAAAATTGATTCCTCTTTAAATAGGAAACTATAAGAAAGTAATATGAGAAACATAATTACTAACTACAATATTTAAATATGATGATGACGATTACCTAGTTATCTGGACGAATATCTTAAGACATAATAAAGTATGCTTTTTCTTTGGCCTGAAGATATAAATGCACTGACCAAACTTAATTTTAGGAGAATCTAAATAATTGAGATGGACAGGCTGTTGAACATTATTTGCAATCCTTATCGAAACTTATACTACGTATTTGAGTACAAACTGAAGGTTCCAACTTCCTTGACGCGGAATACGTAGTAGGCAGAGATAAGTGGCCCTTGAGGACCCAGAAGGCCCTTCTTGGCTTCTTGGTACGGCCAACAAAAGTACAAAATTACCTTGATAATATTTAAACATATATTAGTTTTTATAAAAGCTAATAATTCTTTTTTTTGGATATATTATTACGTACCAAAATCCTTGTACATATGATACTAAAATTTCAGGTAATCATCAATACATTGTAATAAACCAATATATTATATATTCTGATTTAAATCATGTGTGTTGTGAGAATAATATATTATCATAAACAGGGAAAACTTAATATTTATATTATTACCAAACCTATTTTTGATCCAAGACTTTTTTTATCTTTTTTGGCCAAAATACAAGACTTTTTATACATAAGTATTGTTAAAAAAAGTGATGTAAATAGGCATTCAATGTTTTTGCATAGTTTTTTCTGACAAAAGAAAAATAACTAGAAGGGAATGCCTACTAAAAAATTATAATTAACTTCAGTAATTTTATTTAAATTGATAAATAAAATTTAATTAAAACAAAATATAATCTTGGTGTGTCTAATTAAATAAATGGGAAAGAGGGTCAATTTGATGTCACTTTACTAAGTAACTCATGAGGCCATTTGAATTTCAGTTAAGTATAATTAATTATAAAAATAATTAATTATAATAATTAATTTTGATTGTAATTAATTATATTAGAACGTAATCTATTTGAATATTATCTTTTTGAGATTGATTTTAACAAACTAATAATATTTAAATGATTTAGTCAAAATTAATTTTAGATGTACAAATTACTATAAAGGAAATTTCTTTTTAAAATTAAATTATTGATAAATTTGTAAATAATATTAAATTTGTTAAAATTTATTTAAGAAGTAAAATATATTATTTAAATTATATATTTGATTAATTATAAAAATTTAAATTATATTAATATTAGCAATTTAATTTATATAAATAAATAACTCAATATATTTAAGTTTAATTTTACAATAATCAATGAAGATGATAATACAAGCTGATCTCTAATGACATTGCGGATATGAGTTATATCTTACAAAAATATTTAGATAAAGGTAAGGATAAATATTTATCAATGTGATAATTTTCTTCATACTTTGTTTGATCTTTCATGATGCATAAAATCAAAATTAAAATCAGGCAGGTGAAAGGCTCTGACAAATAATTGATATTTTAATGTTATATAATTGAATCCTTGAAGAAGCTGCCACCTACAGCTTATTTCAATAATTGATTAGCACAAATTTTTGCTGTTCGAGAAATTTTCATTCCAACCATGATTTTGCCCCCTAAAATTGATTAATTATCCTATCCAAACAGGTAGATTGTATATTTGTTTATAAACTTCGCAATGCCAAACAAAATTATTGGCCTTCATAAGTACTTGGGCATTAGCCATAGGTTGAGTATTCGGCTAAGTAGTGGTAGAGACTAATTTTGATTTATTTATTTGTTTTTGTTTTTGGCAACAACTACTTTTGAAAAATCATATACGACCAATGACCTTTTCAAAAACAAAGTTTGTGCATATTAGTGCATCGTTTACTAATTGGACAAATCCTCTTTACATTATCACATCACATATGATCCCGCCTTGGTTTTTTTTTTTTGTTTTTTTGTTGTTGTTAATGAATTTTAAATTAACATATTATACGCGTCCTATCTTCAAAAATTACTTGTTAGTTGCCTTTGAAAAATTTGATCCAGATCTTTTAGAGACCTTACTCTCATTGGCCCAGCGCGACTCTCTCTCTCTTTTTTTTGTTTTTTTCATTCTCGTCGTCCCATTTTCACTTTTAGAATACATAAGGAATGCCAAACTAATCTGAACCCCTATTAGATGGAATTGTATCATCAACAGCAACTTCACGTGTATTTTGAAATACCTTTTTTATATGTTATTAAGGCGATTACATATTTTAGAACTTGAACTTGAAATTACATAATAAATTAATTTAACTCCCTCGGTCAATTTAATCAAATAACTTTAGTCAAATGAACAAATAATTTTAAATGATTAAAATTTGACATGCTCAATTATAACTTTAATAAAATAAATAAATAAAAATTATAATAAAATTTCAATAACAATATACATTATAAACTGGACAAGTCAAATTTTAACAATTTAAACTTATTTTTTATATGATTATTATTTTGTAAAAAATTAAATATAAATAATTGATTTTCTTATTTAAGGGTGGAAATGAGATGAGGAGAAGAAAAGGAAAAAGAGGACTTGCTTCCTGGAAAATTATGTTAAGCAAAATTACTAGTGCTGAGGCTATAAAGAGCAAGCTTGATGCTTTAAGGGGGGGTGCTTTAGAAGATCATACTCTTTCATGGATCAAATACTGTCAAAATCTATATAAAAATGGTAACATTTTAGTGAAGCTGTGGATGTCATATTGTCATGTGTATAAGAGGGGGGAAAACACACACACCACCTTCTCAGAGTAATTCGGATCCTTTTTTTTTTTTTTTTTTTTGAGTGGAAGGAAAATTGTATTAATCATAAAGCTATACAACCAGTCACGTTACAAACTAGGACTTGCAAAAGTAAAATGAGGGCGTTGCATATAAATGCTGAGGCTGTGATAATTCCCAAGAGTGCGGTTAACTATAGACATAACACGCATTGAAAGTTGTTCCACATGAATGTTGTCAGCTGCAAAGATTCTTTTTTTATGAGCTTCCCAAATTGTTCAAGGTAGAATGCTTATACGTATACCCACTTTCCAAAAAGTATGTAAATTGGACGACTTGAGAGCACCGATCAAACGGGGGATAGAGCCTTCTGTTATAAAAGTCATCAAGCATGTCAGAGCTAAGGACTTTCTTCCAAAGGTTTGCGGCCAAAGGTCAATATGCTCGACTGGGTTATGACAGACAGAGCACTGTTGGTCATCAGTCATGTTACGATGGACTCGTTCTACATTAGTAAGCAGCCTTTCTTTTAGCAGGAGCCATAGGAAAGTTCGAACACGTTGGGCCACTGGTACTTTCCAGATAATTGTCCGCTTCATTCGTGCTCGAACAGGTGTGAATATCACTGTGTGCCGATTTGATCCTGAATTCACCATTGGAAGCTAGCTTCCAGCAGCAAGATGACGCCCCAGGGGAACTGCTATTTTGATTGAAATTTCATTGATTTGTTGCAAAGCATTCTGGGGAAGTAAATGATTGAAAAGTGCCCATTTCCAATAGCCATCATTGGTAATGTAGTATGATATAGGTCTTGCCAAATCAGATTCTGGTATTTCAGCATAAGATAGATGCCTTAGTGGCCCAGAGTCACCCACCCAGTAGTCAAACCAAAGGCTAATATCATGCCCATGTGTTGGCGACCATTTATTTAATTTGCATCACAGTCCCTGATCTGATATTTTCCCCTTAAAACTTTCACCCATCTATAATGGCTTCCAAACAATTTTGTAATCAATCTTTGACATTAAAGTTTTGTAGGCTACCCTTGTGTGCTCCCATGTGCGCGTTATTCAAGGCATTACTCCACTGGGACCTCTTTCTGGATAAGATCCATTTCTCTCTCTCAACATCAACATTCTAAGTTCTATGCTTTCTTCTCCTCTTGTTTTTCTGGTGAGCTTTTATTTCTGTTGGCGAGTTTGGTTTCCATTTATTTTCTTCCCATCAATCGCTCCACCCGCCTTTTTTTTATTCGGCGATAATCAGTGATTATTATATTTTTTTTTGGGGTTTGCAATAATAAATCATTGTATAATTATTACATGCAGTCAATGGCTTATAAATGAACTGATGTACTTGGTAGGATTTGACAGATAAAACTTATTTAAGGTTGCGAGTTTTATTTGTTTATATTAATTTTGCATTTTTATTTTACTGGCTATTGCGATTCATCACATCAATGGATCTTATAT